AGAGTTTTGCTTGACCGTGCATTCGACTGTGCGTCGGACGGTGTGGCATGTGCGCGCATGTGCGGCAATGCTGTTGAGGCTTTTGTACATTTGCATGGGCATGTGCATGCGACTGTGCGGCATGTGCCTGCATGTGCGGCCCCTTCCGGACCACAATTTCAAAGTGAGCACTATAGAAGTGAGCGCTATAGAAGTGAGTCCGGTGTATCCAACGATCGTCACTCTGCGCCAGTTCTGCGCAGGGCCGCTGACACCCACTGAGTAGAAAGATCTACTTGAGATGGGCGGCCTGAGCATTCGGGTCACTTTAACCATCGATGCGGAATATGTCTGCAAGTCCTTGTCAAGCAAAGTCCAGAAGAAACCGACTAGCTGTATTTTTTAAGACATCAGTTGGATGCGACAGATGATGGAGCGAGGTATCGTGCATAGTGTACAGTAGCGTGAGACTTGCGACATGACTGCGGACGGCCACACCAAAGGGAGCATCGAAAGAGATATGCTCTTACAGGTCATGGGAGGAACGCAATCCTTCAACGACATCTCCGTGCAGGGCTGGCCAGACAAACTCGTCTAAGCCGCCTGAGGAGCAATCGTCTGCAAGGTGATTTGCCTGCGAGGCAACTTGCTTGCAAGGGCACTTGGGTGCGGGTCAACCTTCCTTTTTGGGCCCGCCTGCTGTTGCCTACCTTGTGTATATAGTGTTTACTGTATAGCGGGCGGCGGACTCACGCTTCGCTTCCCCCCGACTCGAAAGGGGGCCGGGGCAAAAGGCGAGAGATAACGAGCGTTTGTCCGCGGCCGTTTGTTCTCAAGCGGCCGGCCGCCAACGCATGATTGTGCTTCTTCGCGAGGCGCACTACTTGCCTTTGAGACCGAAAACGTATTTGCTTGACATGGCCCGTCGCTCCCGCGACTGAGGCTATCGTTGCTACGGTACAACAGAGTTGGATATGGGCTTCGCCTTAGGCGAAGCTTCTGGTTGGGCCTCCCGACCCCCTTCGCAGTTTTAGGCCAGGGGCGGTGAGGATATTTCACAGGCAGTTTTTGGGTCAGGGGGGGAGAATCTGTCGATGGCAGTGAGATTGAGCTGGCAGCTTTAGGCCAGGGGCGGTGAGGATCATTCGCTGGCAGCTTCATTACCTAACAGCTTTAGCTGATAGGTTTCTAGTGGTCTCAAAAGAGAGCAGCAGACGACTCCACAAGGGGATCGGGGCGGGACCCGGACAGGCTGCCGCCGCGGCTGCCGCCGAAGCCCAAATCGCTTGGGACATCCTCGCAAAATCGCTTTTGGCGCTCCCAGAATTCCATTCCCGGGCCACATTTTGAATGCCCGGAGCCAACTGTAGGCCACTTCGTGCTCTTCGACTTCCCAGAACTCCATTCCCGGGCCACATTTTGAATGCCCGGAGCCAACTGTAGGCCACTTCGTGCTCTTCGACTTCCCAGAACTCCATTCCCGGGCCACAGTTTGGATGCCCGGAGCCAACTGTAGGCCACTTCGTGCTCTTCGGGGGCCACATTTTGATTGCCCAAACTGTGGCTGTATTCGTGCTCTTCGAGTTCCCAGAACTCCATTCCTGGGCATGATTTTGAATGCCCGGAGCCAACTGTAGGCCACTTCGTGTTCTTCGAGTTCCCAGAACTCCATTCCCGGGCCACATTTTGAATGCTGAGGCAGGCTGATGCTGAGGCTGAGGCAGGCTGAGGCTGAGGCTGAGGCTGAGGCTGAGGCTGAGGCTGAGGCTGAGGCTGAGGCTGAGGCTGAGGCTGAGGCTGAGGCTGAGGCTGAGGCTGAGGCTGAGGCTGAGGCTGAGGCTGAAGGCAGACTGAGGCTGAGGCTGAAGCAGGCTGAGGCTGAGGCTGAGGCAGGCTGAGGCTGAGGCAGGCTGAGGCTGAGGCTGAGGCAGGCTGAGGCTGAGGCTGTGACTGTGACTGCCGTTGCCACTGTGACTGTCATCGCGAATGCGACTACGACTGCGAGAATAGCAGAATTCTACAACTGGATTCTCATCTGAATCGTAAGTGGAATGCTTCCAGATATGCTCCTACACATCGCTGTTAGGTTGCTTTGCCGGGATATTTTTTTTTGGCTGGCAGTTTTAGGCCCGGGGCGGTGAGGATATTTCGTTGGCAGTTTTCGGCCAGGGGGTGGGGAGATTTCGCTGGCAGTTGTAAGTCAGGGGGTTGACGGTATGTCAGTCGCAGTTTTAGGCCAGGGGTGAGGATATTTCGGTGGCAGTTTTTTGACGCTGGGGGTTGAGGATACTTTCGCCGGCAGTTTTAGGCCAGGGTGTGAGGATATTTCGCTGGCAGTTGTATTCGAGGGGTGTGAGAATATTTTTCAGTCAGGGGGTTAGGGACATGTCGCTGGCAATTTTTAGGCCAGGGGGTGAGGATATTTCGCCGGCAATTTTAAGCCAAGGGGTGAGGATATTTTGCTGGCATTTTTAAGTGAGGGGCGTGAGGATATTTCGCTGGCAGTTTGAAGTCAGGGTGGATGATATTTCGGTGGCAGTTTCAAGCGAGGGGGGCGAGGATATTTCGCTGGCCGCTTTAGGCCAGGGAGTGAGGATATTTCGCGGAAGGGTGTGAGGATATTTCGCTGACATTGTTAAGCCAGTGCGGTGAGGATATTTCGCTGGCAATTTTAGGCCACGGGGTGAGGATATTCCGGTAGCCGTTTTACTGGAGGGGTGTGAGGATATTTCGCACGTCAGGGGGTGAGGATATGTTGCGGGCAGTTTTAGGCCATGGGTTGAAGATTTTTCTGGGGGGGGGATGGGTGAGAGGAGGGACGGAGGACGAGGACGAAGAGGAGGTGGCGTAAGGGGGGTTCGGAGGTAGGGCCTGAGAGAAGTCGTGGTCGGTGCGGGCATCCACGCGCCACGCGACGCAGCGTTGGGTCTTGCCTTGACTGGCCCAGCCGAAGGCTACGCATGCAGCGAGATCTTGGCGCGGGGCTGGCGGGGTGCCAAGATCCAGTGTTTTTTGGGGTCTTAGGCTTTTGCAGGATTTTGGCCTCTTGGGGGGTGCCCTGGAAGCCTCCAAGGACACTTGAGTCGTCCTGGGGCTGTCTTGATGACCTCCTGAAGATATGCTATCTTGAGTCATCTCGGAAGCGATATTGAGCTCTCGGATGCCCTCTGGGAGCCATCCTGGCCCATCTTGGACGCTCGAACCCCTCCGCCCCCCCCCCTCCGAGACCCAGGGGAGGGGGTAGGGGGAGGGGTCAAGCTACCCCCTCCCCGCCCGCAAGCCGTCTCGCTCACTCCCACCCGCCCTCCCAACACATACGTAGCACCCGAGTCTGGCCCGAGCCTCAGCATATTCAGCAGTCGTCTTTGGATGGGCAGCTACTGGGGGCCAATCCGCCGCCGCCGCCGCCGCCCGCCGCCGCCGCCGCCGCCGCCGCCGCTGCGCCGCCGCCGCCGCCGCCGCGCCGCCGCCGCCGCCCCCCGCTGCCAACCCGCCGCCGCCGCCGCCGCCGCCGCCGCCACCGCCGCCGCAACCCGCCACCGCCGCCGCCGCCGCCGCGCCGCCGCCGCCCCCGCCGCCGTCGCCGCCGCCGCCGCCGCAGCCGCCGCAGCCGCCGCCACCGCCGCCGCAGCCGCCGCCGCCGCCGCCGCCGCCAAGTGTACTCTGTATTGTTTTTTGACAGGGATGGTGGGGGGGGGGGGCGCATCGGGTTGGCCGCGCATGTTCCGAATTTGGAGGCAGAGTGTGTGTTTGTATTGTTTTTTACAAAGGATGGTGGGTGGTGGTGGCATGGACCGTGTTTGGCCCCCAGTCGCCTTGGGGAGGGGGTGTTTTTTTAATAGGGAACAGTGATCA